AAGGAAGAAAGTCCTCTCACCGACTTTCCTCCGCAGCGCGGTGTTCTGGGCACCGCCGTCTAGGAGGTTGGTGAGTCGCTCCACGTCGAAGGCCGGCCACCGCCTCTCGCTTTCTATGTCGGGGTGCACTCGCCCGCTCCAGGCGTCCCCCAGCGACACTCGGTGTGCCCGGCTGCCCATCCTTCCCTGGTGTCCGAAGAGAGGCGCTCTGCTCAGCTGCTGCGCGCTCTGCTCTCCTGGAAGAAGGCTGTCCCCTCCGCGAGGTCTGGGCGCCGGTCAGGCAGGTCAGGGGTGCGGGGAGCCCCGGCCCCGCGCTCTTCGCCCCGGCGCGCTCACCCCCACCTCCCTCCCCGCCCTCCCACCGCGGGCGGGGCCTGGGGCGAGGCCCGGCCGCCCAATCAGCGCGAGCCGCGGGGTGGGTGGGGCCGACCGCGCCGCCCGGGCCGCGGACTCCGCTCCAGCCCCAGCCGGTCTCCTGCGGGCGCCCCCACGGGAAGTCCGTCAGGGACACCGTGGAGAAGACCACCTTTATGTAGATAAGCGGCCCCGAGCCGCGCAGCTAGAGGAGGCCAGCGCCAGCCTCGCTGGTCGTGCCCGCTGGGGGCCGGCGGCTCGGGTCACTCGCCCCCCACCCCCAACTTCTTGGGCGTTTGCGCCCCAGGGAGCCAAAGGGCGGTGGTGCCTCCCGGTCCCCGGCCTGTCCCCTGCCCTCTGTCCCGGGAGCCCTGTCTCCTTTGCGGACAACCTTTGACCTCTCAGGAGCTCACTGCTTCCTTGTCCTGCTCGGAGCTGGCTCCGTGGGGGTGGAGTCGCTGTGTCTCCATCTGCCCCCCACGGCGGGTCGCTCTCCTCGCGTCTCATCCCCTCCGGTTGCTCCATCTGCCCAAGGCTTAGCCGCTTGGTGTCCCTCGAAGCCAGGCTCCAGGAACCCCCATCTGTATGGGTCCTCCTGACAGAAGCAGCCCTTCTGCGCTCCTTGGGACAGTGATTAATGTTGGGGACAGATCGCACTTGCCCACGTGACACCCCCCCCCCCCCCC